CCGTATTTTTGCCATAGGAATATTTTACCTATTATCTTGAAAGATCCTTCAGTGGCTCCATGTGGCCCTCAGGATAAGTCCAAATGCCCTACTAGGCTCCTCAGGCAGCCCTGGCTGGCTTTGGCCTCGGCTCTCCAGCGCCCAACCCACAGCACTCAGTGTCCCAGGCACATCGATCCGTTTCCATTTCCTCACAACTGCTCTGGGTGATCTCTGACCTCCCCATTTTCCCTGCTGGGAATCAATCCTCTCTTGCACATTAACCCTTCCCGACCCAATCCCTAGCAGCTTTCTAGACACCCACCTGCTTCAGCCACACCCAAGTGCTCCAGCACTTTTTTTCTCCCATTCTTCCCCTCCCCGCCACAAGCTTGGCCCAAACTGCATTATCATCTCCCCCATGGCTGGCTTGTGACCTCCAAGAGGACTGACCCAATCCCCTGGGCCTAGCACGGGAGCTGAGGCTCAATACCCAGCTGCTACATTTCAGCTCTCTGGGACACAAGGGCCTCTTGGCTAAGCTATTACAAGGACAAAATGAGTAACATCTGCAAAGAACCCCCAGCACAGGATCTGCCATATGGGAAGCTGAATATAGTCTTAAAAAGCAAGCCGGTGCCAGACAGCAGAGAAAGCTCAGATGGCAGGGCTAGCTGTTAGGGACAGATGCCTAGAACAAGGTCTACGACACAGTGAGTGCCCCAAAACTGCTTAAGACAGAACAGTGGTTCTCAACATTATGGGGAAGAATCAATCACCTGTTGTTTATTAAAATAGCAACTGGGCCCATCCCTAGGGATGCTAGCTCGCAAGGTCTGGCACAGGGTCCAAGCAGCTGAATTTTTAAGATATAATCCACAGGCGGGACGCCTGGGTGGCTCAGTCGGTTAAGCATCTGCCTGCAGCTTGGGTCATGATCCCAGGGTCCTGGGATCGAGCCCCGCGTCGGGCTCCCTGCTCAGCGGGGAGCGCGCTTCTCCCTCTGCCTGCCGCTCCCCCTGCTTGCGCTCTCTCGTTCTGACAAATAAAATCTTTAAAAAAATACTAATCCACAGGTGATCTAAGGACCCACTCTGAGAAACCAACTGATCTGTTCGTGAATTTTATTAAGCGGCTATGATATGCCAGGTTAAGGTTCATCTTCATTGTGGGGATACAGAAGGAACAAGAAGTGTCTGTGCCCTCAGGGAGTTTACATTCTGGTGAGGGTAGAAAATGTGAGGTATACAAAAAAATGGAGACAGCCAGTGACAATGTCGTAAAGAAGGTGGGCAAAGACAGGGCATCTTGGGTGGCAGGGAGGCCCTCTCTCTGAGTCACAGTGGAATGACAGGGCAGAGCCGGTCAGGAAACAACTAGGAGAAAAGCATCCAGATGGATCTTCCTTTTCCCCCCAGGTCCCCTCAACCAGGCCCTGGTCCAAGAGTATCTCAAAGGAAACCAAGTCCTGGAGAGTGAAACCCTCTCCCCGCCTCACCACACCCCCTATTATGGAGGTTTTCAGAGCCAGGACTGGACACAGCAGACTGGGATGGGAAAGGATCTACACGCCCCCTTCTCTCCTGGCCGGGGTACCCCAGGCTTCCTGGGGCCAGGGGCACAGCTCTGACTCCCCGCCTTTTGAGAAACCTGGCCCCTACCCCATCTCCCTCACTCAAGTGTCCCTAAAGTCCCAGGCCAAGCCAGATCCCTGGGCTGAGCCAGCAGGTGCGACAATGCCGGGTCCTCAGGCCTCTTGGTGTCCCAGGAGCACTGCTCATATGGCCGGGGCCTCCCGAGGATCCTTCTTGATTTGAAGTCCAGGTCCTTGGGAATCCCAGGGGTGGGACTGGTCCTCAGGATTTCGGAGAACATGGCATCACCCAGGAAGGCGACCCCCCCTTCCCAGCAGGCGAGACAACACATTAGGAAGACGGGAGCCTGGGCCCTCGCAGGAGGGAGAGGGGAGCCGCGCGGCCCAGCGAGACTCCCCAGGGCAGGTGGGCAGCCAGGGGCTGGAGGCTCCGGGGTCACTTCTTCCTGGCTCGGTCTGCCGCATCCAGGGCAGCCATGTTGCGGGCGGCTGTGACCAGGTGGACGACACTGATGAGAGACTTGAGGACCGCGATAGGGGCGGTGATCCAGAGCCCCACTCGGAAAAGACCCACAGAGCCAACTGTGGAAGGGAGCACGGGCGAGAGAGACAATGGGATGCAGGTGAGGGAGAGGAGGCCCAGGAGTCTGCAGCCTCCAGGCCACCATCACTGCGGGTGGGCCAGGACGTCCTCCCACCCTCCCGCCAGCCCCTCGCCTCCTACCTAAAGGTCCCTCGGAGAAATGGAACAGGTAGAGAAGGCAGTAGAAGAGCTCATTTCCAGCACACAGGGTAAACAGGGCAGGCTGCACAAAGGGCAAAAGGGTTGCTTAAGCAGTGCCGCCCCTCCCCCCAGCTGAAGGACAGGGGCCAGAACCCTCTGCGGATGGGCAGCAGGGAGGAACCATATGGGAAGTAGGAGTGCAGGGGTGAGGTGAGGGTGAAAGAGAAATCTCAGCATATTACTTCTCTCTTTAAAAATCCTTTCAGATGCTATCTGTGCTCCCAGAATAAAGCCCACATAGCCTAAGGCTCGTTGAAAACTGGCTCCGCAGGCCAATCTGGCTTCTCTCTCCCTCCCTCCCTTCTGCTGCCCTCCCTGTAAGTCACACGGAGCCTCCCCACCGATCCTACCCTCCTTCATGCCTCAGCTTCCAGGCCTCTCTCCCCCGGAGTCTCCCCTGCGTTGGTGTGTCCCTCCTTGTGCTCATGCCTTCTCCTAACCTAGGACCAGGGCTCAGCCCAGGGCTTGGCATAAGGTGAGGGAATAAGGGGAGGGGGGGCGGGAAATGCTCACTCTGGAGGTGTAGTAGATGCGAAGCACCGGATTTCCAGAGAGGTCAATCATCTTGTGACTTGCACTGCCTCGGACCACAGAACTTGGGGAGAAAGCAGGGGGAATCCATGAGCACTCCTTACCACTAAGGTCCATCGAATCCTCCCAGGTAGGTGCTGGGATTGCCTCTGCTGAACAGAGGAGGTGGGGCACGAGATGGGGCTCAGCTAAGAACTGAGGTCTTGCCCAAAGTCACACAACTACCTAGCTGGTAATTACCCAGCAGAGTCAGGACTCAAACACGACATTCCAAAGCCCTCAGCCGTTATCTATTTGGAATTCTCGGACTATCCAACAGGACTTTTAGGGATTGCTTAATCCACCCGCGAACAGAGGCTTTGCCCAGGGTCCTTCAACAAAGCAGAGCTAAGAGGGCGACCTCCCAGGAAGTCTGAAGGCTTTCCAGACGCCCTCCATAGAGCCTCACCCCTCCCCACTGTAGTGTCTTCAGCCGGCCAGCACCCCCCGAACTGCAGACCTGTGGAGGTGCAACCAGTGACTGGCCATATCCAGGCTCATGCTGAGCTGGAAGAGAAGGGTGGCCCGTGGGTACAGCAGGGCCAGGTTGACCAGCAGACACATGGTGGAGCAGCGGTCCGTCAGCATGTCCAGCATGGCCCCAAACCGGGTCCCTGAAAAACGGGGGCTGTTAGGTGGGAAGGGGCCATCGGTGGCAGTGGGTCTGTGACAGGAACCATATTTGGCATGTCATTCTGATGCAGAATCTAGAAGAAGATTGAAAATGTCCACCGTCCACTGCCTGGGGAGGAAAATAGGCTGTTGCTATCTGTGGGGTGTGAGGTCAAGGGGTAGGGGTCACTGAGAGAGGAAATGAGGGGGCATGGGGGCTGGAGTGGGGAATGAGAGAGCTAGCTCTGCGGCTCATCAATCCCAGAACCAAGGGTCCAGGGCTCCAGACAAGCAGACTTCAAGTTTTGGGGGAGGTCTTGCAGGTGGGTTTGGAGAACAGATTAAAAAATTAATTGGCCCTGCAGAAACCATCCTTCTTCCCTCTCCATTCTCCCTCTAAACATGGCTTCTGGAACCCCTATTCCTTGTGCCTGGCACACAGTAGCCCCCACCCCACAACAGCCCCCCAGGAAACACCTGTTGAACGGGTTTTTCTTCAGGGAGACCTCCAGCACTGCCATGTCCAGTCTTGCTACCCCACACCCTGTAAGTTCTTCTCAACAGCAAGCTTAAATCCCTTCTGCTACGAAAGTAGGCCATTCTGTTCTGCTTTCTACAGAGATGGGAGGGACGGGGCCCTCAGGTTCCTGAGTTCCCGCCCGCCCCCAGGTCCTGAGGAGGCAGGAAAAGGGGACAGAGGGTGGTTGGGCCTCAAGGCTGGCTGGGAGGAGGTCTGTCACCTTGATTAAGGGCTCGAGCAGCGTGTCCATCGAAAGCGTCCAGAAGTCCGCTGAGCAAGTAGAAGGAGGAGGCCGTGAGGGGGCAGCAGGGCATGAAGTAGAAAGAAACGATGGCGAAGACAATCCGGGCATAACCTTGGGATGGACGGGGGCAGACAGAGGGGGATCAGGGACCCTGCCCAAGCCCCCTCGCCCTCCCGCTCGGCCGGGAGCCCCGGGCAGCACTCACCGATGAGGTTAGGCACAAACAGGAAGATATTTTCACCTGGCATCGCGGCGGCCCCCTTGCCGCCCCGGGCCCGATCTGGAGGTGGTAACCGAGTCCCAGCCCCGCCGCGCGGCCTCACCCTCGGGCCCCGCGGATCGGCCGCGCTCACAGCGCGCAGGGCCCCGCCGTCCGCGCCCGGCCCCAGGTGTTAGAGCTCGCAGCCCGCCGGAGCATGGGCCGGCCCCGAGGTGCGTCGGGCGCAGGGGCGCGCACAGCCCGCCCTCCCTGGGGGCAGCCCCGCCCGCCTCCAGCGGCCGCCCCTGTCGCCCCAGCCGCGCCCGGGCGTGCAAAACTGGAGGGGGGGGGGGGGGGGGGGAAGAAAGCTTAAGAATGGCTGCGGCCCCTTTAAGACCTGCCCGCTTCCTTTTCCTCCCTCCGCCCCTTTCCATCGGCGCGTACCAAAGCGCAGAGGGAGGAGGGGGGCAGAGAAGCCTCGGCGCCGAGCAGGGGGGAACCCAGAAGGAGAGGTCAAAAGAGAAAGAGGCCTCGATGACGGACTCTCCTTTCCTTTCTCCGGAGGGTATAGCTTCCTGGAGACAGGACAAGGGGAAAACATTCCGCCCCGGGTCTACGCGTCCCCGAGAGGCAAGGTTATTTAGTACAGCCCACAGGTTTTTTTTTTTTCCTGCCCCGCCCCCTATCTCCGACCTCATTTGCTCTCGCCGGCTCCAGGCCGCGAGAGAGCGGCTAGAGAGGCTGGAGGGCGGCTGAGGGCGGGGTTGCTGCTTGCGCGCCCCTAGTGGTAGGAGGATTCGGCCCCAGGCACCACCCTATGTGATCTTCCCGTTTCTCAGACTTCTGGCGCTGGGGTCACCATCCCCAAGGAGGGATCCAAAAGGAGGTGGAACGGAGACCAGAGGAGCAAATGGGACGTGCTGGGAAAATGCCCCCCCACACACACACACCCGGCCCCCGCCTTTGGTTCTAGAATCCCTAATATCCTGGCAACGGGGCTGCAGAACGTCCACAGACAGCAAGGTTTTTATAGCAACGGGTAGCTGCACCACCCCGGGTCCCCCTCTTTCCAGCCTTCCTCCCCAGCTCCTACCCCCCCCGCCCCCGTCCCCTGAGACCTAAACAGCGGCTCCTTAGCCCTCCCTGTTTCCCTCCTGCCCAAGATTTCAACTCATCTGCCAGGTCGGGGGCAGTAAGCCGGCTGGTGCCTTGTCTTGGGAGGGGCCTCAGGTGGGAGGAAGGAGAGTGCTCCTGGGCCACCCCTCTCCCTCCCCCAGGCAAAGATTTGTTTTTTCAGGGAGAGAACCGGACAGCAGGATGGTTCATCTAAAGGCCTTACTTAAATCTGGCCCTTGAAGAATGGTGGTGGGATGGGTTTGGGGAAAGTGGGCTGGTTTCTCAGCCTAACACAGGTGTCACCTGTTTCCAGGGGGATGGCATCCACACCTACCAGGAATGAGGAGAAGAAGGGCAGCAGGATGTCCCAAGCTGCAACCCCCTCGGGTGGAGGTCTGGTGAGCATGGGAGTGAGCCGAAGTGAATGGAGAGCTCCTAGGTCAAGGGCACTGACACCTCCAGCCTTGAGACTCTAGTCTCAACCCTGAGCCCATAGCCCCCAGCACTTGGCCCTGAGGTTCTCAAAGACTGCCCCCCATTTCTGGTGCCTTCTCTGCCAAATCTCAAGAATCAGCCCTCCAGTACCAGACTCAGACCTTAGACCCGGAGCTCCCAGCCTGGGAGCCCCCAGACTCAGGACTCCCATGTGGGAACTCCCAGGCTGAGCGCCCCTCTGATTTCCCCTTTTGCAGAAGGTTTCATTATCCAGATCTGAGGAATTCCTGACCCGGATCAGCACAGAACTCACCAATGAGGCCTTGTTTATTGCTGGCTGCCACATGAACTCTGTGCCCACCAAGGAAAAACAGACCCAGGATCGAGGGACTCAGATATCCAAACACGGTGACCCCCCCCACTCCAGGACCACTGTGTCCGGAGACCCTACCATACCCTGAGTTCCAGTCCCTAACCCCTCCCAACCACAGCTGACCTTTCCAACAATCTGTGCCCACCTCCCTGAACTCACAGCCAGCCCTTGGACTCCCACCCTCCAACTCACCTAGTACCCACTCCTCACTGCTGGCCAGGAACACCTCAGCACCTTTCTCCCTAGCCACATCTCTTTCTGGCTATGGGGGCAATAATTTCTCTGACTTGGGCCTCTACTTCCAGTGTTCTTCAAGACCCGAGGCACCGATACCTGGTGAGTGAAACTTCAAGGGAGAGGCCCTTTGTCCTGGGAGAAGGATGAGGAGCCTGGAGGGAGAGAGTGAGGGTTTAACAACATCCTAGCAGGGTAGGGGAATTCTAAAACCGCGTAGTCTGATTCTCTTCTGCTCTGATCCTCGAATTCCGAATTCTCAGCCCTCCCCTTTCCCTCTGCCTTCTCTAGTTCTGACAGAAACCGTACCCGCACCAAGGCCCACCTCCTGCCATCCCCTCGTGACAAGGTATATACTGATTCCACGAATGACAAGGCCATTCAGTATTAACCAAACATTTAAAGTTCACAGGATATGCCAGTCCCGGTTTTAGGAGCTCGGGACCCAGAAATGAAGGATACAGTCTCTGCCCTGGAAGAGTTCACATTTTAGCGTGGTGCCAGTCAAGTAGATGGTCAATTACAACATGATATGGATCAGTGCCTATAATAGAATTGGAAACAACGAGAAGAGTGCTTATCCCAGCCTTGGGCTAGGAAGGAAAGGAATCATGGAGCTTCCTGGTGGAGGTGACATCTAAAGAAAGAATCTTCCAGGAAAAAAATGGGTTGGTCAGGGTATTCCAAGTGGTAGGGCTTGTATGAGCAAAGACATGAGGTGAGTTTCAGCAGAGTGAATGGGAGTGTGTCTGTGTTCTTAGGGTGGGAGAGAAAGTGGGATCAGAGGGCAATTTAGCTGCTGGAGTACAGAGGCGTGGTAGTCAGAGTCTACTCAGAGACCTCATGCGGGTGTGCCTTAAGATCAGGAGCCCCTGAAGAGATTTGAGCAAGGGAGGTTGTAATTTTAGATAGTCACTCCGGTGGTCAGTGGGGGGAGTGAGCTGGAAAGGGGAGATGAGAGGTGGAGGCCAGTTAGCAGTTATGCCAAGAGACTAAGCTGGTGAGGATCGGGTCCTGAATTGTCATAGTAATAGTAGAGATGAGAGGAGGGGCAGATATGAGAAATAAAGACCAGGAAAACTGGGCGCCTGGGTGGCTCAGATGGTTAAGCGTCTGCCTTCGGCTCAGGTCATGATCTCAGGGTCCTGGGATCGAGTCCCGCATCGGGCTCCCTGCTCCTTGGGAGCCTGCTTCTCGCTCTGCCTCTCTCTCTCTCATGAATAAATAAATAAAATCTTTAAAAAAAAAAAAAAGACCAGGAAAACTGAGTTTGGTCATTGAGTAGAAATGGTAGGGGAAAAAAAAAAAAAAAAGGAAATCAGATGACCCGCCCCCACATTTCTGACTTCTGTAACTTAAGTCTGATGATATCATGCTTCTGCTCTGAACTCCATGATAACAATAGTTACCCGTTTCAGAGGAAAAGCCAGAGTCCTTCAGTGGCTTACAGGGCCTCTCGCCTCCCCCCACCCCACTGTCTCTCTGACCTCATTGCTTAGAACTGCTCACCTTGTCTCCCTCTGTTCTCAGCCATGCCAGCCTCCTCAGTCTTCCTGGAGCATGGCAGCCATGCTCCCACCTTTGGGCAGGTTGAGTTTGAGGTGCCTCTGGGAAGACCAGGTGGAAATACCATGTAGATAGTTGGAAATAGGGCTTCAGAACTCACCAGGGATGTCTGGGCTGGTGATAGAAATTGGATTTAGGAGGGAGTCGGCAGTTGAAGGCTGTGTGGGGGTTATGCAGAGTAAGCAGGAAGAGGGCGCTGAGGCTGGAGTCCGGAAGAATCTCTCCATGTGAGGAGTTGGTGGAGGAGAAGAGAGGGGGTCATGAGGAAGGCAGAGAAGGAGCTGACCGCAGATGTTTATTGAGTGTCCAGTATGTGCCGGGTCCACCAGGTCTTATGGATGGTCAGTTTTCTGGGGCTGCTACTTCCAATGTTCATGACCAAGACCAGTGGCACAATTCTTAACCTCAGGGAGCTGGCCTTCTAGTGCCTTTGGGACATTTGAACTTTCCCAATTGGGCTTTGGTGTTAGAAGCAGCTTGAAGTAGCAGGAGAGCCCCAGGCCTTAACAGCTAATCTGCTCTCAACCTGATAGTTAGCCTTGTGCAAGTTGCTTCCTTTCTCCCCATATGTCAAATGGGGGCCTTGGACAAGATGCTCTGTAAGGACCCTACCTGCCCGTACAGTGGTTTCCTGTTCCTTCCCAAATGGCACTTGATTGAGAATTTCATCCTGAGCCAATACCCTCTCATCCTCTGGGCAGCACCCCATGGTCCCAAGAGACTTTCCCTTCCTCATCCTCAAGAACATGGAAGCCTACAGATCTTTGAACTGCTCCTCGAATTATAGGTCCTTGTAGGTGGGCAAAATATTGAGTCGGGGAATGGGTGAGCGGATGAGCCAATGCAGAAGGTAGGCCAATGGATGAATGGATAAATGGATGGACAAATCCACTGAGCGTTTATTAGGCACTGTGTATGTACCGGCACTGCTGTAGGGGCTGGAGGATAGAAGTGAGCAAGGTAGACTCCCTTGCTTTTGAGACGTTTAAATGGGGGCTGAGTTATTAGGTGGAAGAGGGCTGAGTGGGTGGACAGGTGAATGAGGGATAGATGGACAGGCAGACGGATGAATAGAATGTGTGCATGGGTAGAATGATGAGTAGATGTGTGGGTGGATAAATACGTGCATGGATGGATGGTGGGTGCATGGGTGGGGAAAAATGGGGAATGGTGGGTGGATAGAGAGATGAGTGGGGGATAGGGGTTGGATGGAGAGGTGAGGGATAGAAGGAGAACATAGGAGCGTTGGGTCCAAAGAATCAGAAGGCTCTTTTTCTTTTCTAGGGAGCTGGGCTTAGCAGCTTGACATCTGGAGGATGACCGCACCCTTCTTTGGTGCTGCTCTTGACCTCTCACGCTCTCTCCCATTGTGTCCTTCTAGAACATGCGTCAGACCTCCTCATTCACAAGTCACTAACACTTCGGTTTGCTGGGGACCCCTGGTCATAAGCAGCAGTACACTCGAAGCCTCCCAGGTGTTCTGGAACCATCTCACACCTTTCCACCCGCAGCTGGCAAAGACATCACCAGAAATCAAAGGCTTTAATAAAAAGAGAGAGGTCCTTCCCTCTTCCCAACCCAGGCTGGGCTCTGGAGTGGCTTCTCTGGGGTGGAGATGTGAGAGGATGGCCCTTTCCTTTTTCTTTCCTTTTTTCTTTCTTTCTTTCTTTCTTTCTTTCTTTCTTTCTTTCTTTCTTTCTTTCTTTCTTTCTTTTTCTTTCTTTCTTTCTTTTTCTTTCTTCTTTCTTTCTTTCTTTCTTTTCTTTCTTTCTTCCTCTTCTTTTCTTCTCCTTTCTTCTTCTTCTTCTTCTTCTTCTTCTTCTTCTTCTTCTTCTTCTTCTTCTTCTTCTCCTCCTCCTCCTCCTCCTCCTCTTCTTCTTCTTCTTCTTTCTTCTTCTTCTTTCTTCTTCTTTCTTCTTCTTCTTCTTCCTCTTCTTTCTTCTTCTTCTTCTTCTTCTTCTTCTTCTTCTTCTTCTTCTTCTTCTTCTTCTTCTTCTTTTCTTCTTCTTCTTTCTTCTTCTTCTTTCTTCTTCTTCTTCTTCCTCTTCTTTCTTCTTCTTCTTTTCTTTTCTTCTTCTTTTTTTTCCTTGCCAGATATGTGGGCATATGGGTGAAATGGCATATACCATGTTACTGGAATGGCTTTAATTCGGGCAGTTAACAACCTGTTTTCTGTCAGCCTTTTGGCAGAGATGAGCTCACGGATCTGAACCCAGCCTCCTTGCCACAGTCCAGCACCTTAATGTCTAGGCCTTTGGCATCTGAGAGGGTCCACCCTTGCTTCTGAGGAGCCACCTCCAGGCTCCGGGGCCTCATGCATGGGGAACATGTCACCCCCATTGCTCGCCAGAAGGGAATGCAGCCACCTTGGTGGAGTTTGCATTTAAATCTGAATCTGGTCGCTTATTCGAGCCTCCTGAGGAAGTCTGTTCACATCTTTGAGCCTCAGTTTTCTTATCTGAGAAATGGGAATAATTATCCCTGTCTTGCAGGCTCCTTGTAGAGGTTGAAAACAGAACGCATACAAAGTGCTTAGCACAGAAGAAAGGCCCAGAAATGCAGGCTATTACAAGGATCAGTTTGCATTGTGTTCTAAAATTCAGCCTCCTCTGAGTATTTCAGTGTCCTTTTGAGTGTCCTAAAAATGCTTAATTATATTTAAATATAAAATTTGAATTAAGTGAAATTCACTTAATTTGGAGACTCTTTAGACAAATGGGCTATAAATTCCTTATAATGTTCAAAAGCGGATACTCTGGAGAAGGACCCCCACAGGGTACAAAACAAGCTCATTCTTTATGAAATGCTACAAATTTGACCATTACTTAGTAGACATGTAACAGCAGATATACTTAAAGGGCCAAAAAAGACTGGGGGGAGAAATGGTACGTACACTTGGATAGATAAAACATTCTCAAAAGGAGCGTGCGTGTTAGGTGAACCGGTCATGAAATGGAGAGCTGTTTGCGTCCTACCAAGCAGTGAGGGAGGGAGGCTCCGGCCACACAGGGGAGGCAGCTACTGTCAGCTGCTATCTTCAGGCTAAAAGAGCCTAGAAGCATCAAGCACGGGGGTAGAGACACCTGAGGCCCAGAGGGGGCTCATCATCCACACAGGCTGAGCCAAAAGCCAGGCGTTTTGACCCCAGGCCAGCCCCCTTGACATTGCCCTGTGCCCTGTCATGGAGCTCCATCAATTTCCCAAATTGTTCCCTTTTCCCCAGGCTTCTCTCCAGCCCACCCGTGACCCACCTTCCCATACCCCACCAGCCCAGTTACAAATGGTGGTTTTCTGTTTATTGCTCAAAACCAAAAATCCAGAAGCGAAGGTGGGGAGATTGTGGGTTGGGAGATGGCATGAAGCGGGTAAGGGGCCTTGGCCCTGCTTTCCCCCTTCATCCCTCTTCTTCTGACCCTCCAGAGCCCAGGGGTGAGGCCCGGGGCCAGAACATCTGGGAAGAGCCTTCAAGGCCAAGGGAATAGCAGAACTCTCAGGCAGTCCTTGTGGGGGGGGGGGGGAGGGGGGCGTGCCCTGGGCCGGAGGGGCCCCAGGAGTTGCAGGAGGGCTGAGTTCCCCTCCCAGGGTCCAAAAGCCAGTAGGGTGGGAGGGAAGGGGCAGGCCCCTTGTTTGGCAACTGAGAAGAGGAGGCTTGGGCGGCAGGATGCTGGTTTATTTACTGTAGGGTCCCCGGGGCCGTCAAAGCCCCCTCGTGGGACCAGGAGACTATTTACACAGCAGGGAGGAAAGGAGCCAGAGACGAGGTCCTGTACTCCTCCCTGCCCAGAGTGGAGAGGGGAAGGGCGTCCTGGGTCCTGCAGCCTTAGTCTTGGGGTTCAGATGGAAACTTCATACTCCCGTGTATCCTGGAGACAGAGAGATGGGGTCAGTTGCTGGAGCGGGATGGGGATGGAGGAGGGAACAAAATGGAAGGAGGCATCCACCAGGGAGGGGAAAGACCCTGGGTTTTTAAAATAACATGGATCATGAGGTTTGGGAGCCATGGGGTGGGAATGGGGCTGAATCTGGCCCGGGGATATTCGGTTCATCTTACGGTATATTAAAATCACACACAAATCTGAGTTTTTGGGTTGTCTTGAACAACTGGAAGACCTGGCAACTGGGCCTAAGTTTCCACTACAGACTAGATGGGGCACAAGTTGGCTCCTTAGCCACAGTCCCCACCACGCCTCCACTCCCGACCAGGCACGCCCGACTTGCTGTGTTGCAGCTGAGTTTGAAATCCCCAAGACGGGTATTACAGAGACTTTGAGAGAAAGACCTGGAGCCCTGGGGGAGCTGAGAGATGTAGCTCTCCAGGGGGAGGGGAAGAGCTCACCCCAGCTTCATACAGTGGGTTGCTGAAGTCTGACTCCACAGTGATGGGGCTGTAGGAATGGGAGCCCGAGAAGCCGAAGAGGGATTTTCCCTGTAGTCTGGGAGAGGGAGGAGATAGAGGGGCTTATCGAGAGGTGAGCCCCCAACCCCCCCCTCACCCAAGCGTCTGTGCCAGGCAGGCAGGACGTCTGCCCTGGCGAGGAGCTCCCCGAGTAGGGTACTTACTTGGTGTAGTATATGTAAACGCCACTGCCGAGGACAATGACCAGGCCTAGGGGCAGCAGGATGGCCAAGGCGAGGTTCCCACCCTCCAGCTGCTGCGACGGGTCTGTGGTCTGGGTCACTGGGGAGAGGAGAGGCCAGTGAGCTGGGGCTGGGCCCAGCCCTGGCCTCTCCCAGCCTCCTGCCCTGGGCCTCGAACCCTGGGCCTCACCCCTCCGGGGCCTGGCCTCCTGCCCCCGGCCTCTGCCTTGCCCTCCCGACTTGGCCAGGCCTGGGTCTCCACCTGTGCCCTCACTGACCTTCCAGTTTTCGGTTGTCCAGGAGCTCCTCATAGGCCACTGCAGGGAGAGGAGGGGGAGGGACGGGGTCTGAGCCAGGGAGGGAAGGAGGCTGGGTAGAGGCCGGGAGCCCAGTGGGGCTGGGCTGGACAGCCTGGTTCTCTCTGCCCTCTGCTCAACCTAAACGTTATCCTTCCTTTGGTGGGGGCGGGGGGAGGAGTAGTCAGGGCAGGGCTTTCTTCCTCCTCCAGACCCCAAAAAGTTCAGGGTTTTTGGGCGGTCTGAACGAATCGGGTCTGTAGAATTTGTCAAAAATGGTGAACCTGAGACCTATCCAGAGGGCAAGAGACTTCCAAGCCAAGGCCCCCTCTGCTACATCCCTTAGGACAATTCCATGACCTTGAAATTCCCCAGGACCCCTGGGTGTACTTGTGAGGATCAGAGCCCACAGGAGGTGAATGGGGAGCTCAGCAGGGTTACCGTCGCTCTCAAATTTGCTACTACCTGACTTTCCCAGTCCCATCACTCCCCAGACCCTGCCGTGCCCCCTCCTGCCCTGTCTGCCCGGGCACCTTTGCAGAGTGGGGGCTGGCTCGTCCACTGGGAGGGGTGACCGGGCACACAGGTGATGGTGACCTCGCCGATGAGCTCAAAGCCCTCATAGCAGAAGAAGCGCAGAGACTCGCCGGCCTGGTAGTGATGCTTGTACAATGTCTGATAGCCGTTCTCTGGCACCCCTGGGTTCAGGCACGGCTCATACTTCACTGCAGGACATAAGGCAGTCACCTGCCGGCTCGCTGCCGAGCAGGCCACCCAGCCACCCTTCCCAGGGTGTCCACAGACTCACAGGCACACTTGGGGACCCGGTCGCTCCACTTGGGTGTGCCCGTGTCCCGGCTGTAGCAGGTGAGCACGGCCGCCCCCTCCAGGCTGTACCCGGGCAGACAGCGGTACTGGACGTGGGAGCCGACAGGGAAGCCAGCGTCTGAGGTGGTACGGTGCCCGTTGGTGATCTCACCAGGGTCGGCGCAAGTCATGACTGTTGGCAGGAGGGCAAGTTCAGGGGGAGCTGAGGCCTTAAAAGATCTCCTGGAAGCTGAGGGCCGGGAGCCGCCTGAGCCATGGGCCATCTTCCCCCTAAGCAAACCCCCATCTCCCACCACTTCCTCCAAATGAAGAGATCAGAAGTTGGAAAAATGCAAAAAACGGTGCACTTTAGATTTCAGGCTTCTTCCGGAAAAGAGCGGTGGGGGCAAGCCAGGCCCCCATCCGAGGATGGAATGGGAAATATTTCGCCCCTGTACCAGAGCATATGAACTACATCCCAGCGCCGCCGGCCCCGCACGGTGGATCTTAGGCGGGACAGCAGCTGTGCTCTTTAGAGGGGCCCAGCCCTCCTGCTCCACTCGTCCAGTCATTCCCAGTACCCTCCACTCACTCGCACAGCCTGCCCTGCAGGTGCTTGTTTACAACCTTGTTGAGCAAGTAACAATCAGAGCCATTTCTTGTATATGGACCTCTGCTAAATGCTTTACAAACAGTATCCTATACCCTGATGATCCCGAGACGTCACCGTGACTCATCTAGTGGGGCTCAGGGCGGTCAAATAGCTGGCCCATGGTCCCTCAGCCCCGTCACAGCCCCAGAGCACTGGGCTGAGACTCAGAGACTTGGGCCTCAGCTCAGCTTCAGGCTCAATATGCTGCCTTGGGCAGGCCCTGTCCCCTCTGGGCCCTGCCTCCATCC